TATATATATATATATATATATATATATATATATATATATATATATATATATATATATATATATATATAATACCAATGGACGGATTACCAACCTACATCACACATGACGTCACACGAGTCCGCGGTTGCAAAAAAAGACCAGCTGCAATAGTAAACGTTGTGTTGTGCGGTAGGATGACAAATTCCGAGTCCAAAAATAGAAAACTTTACTTTTACCGTACACCACACTGCTTTTAATGCCAACTGCAGACTCTTTGGTTAAAAGGGAGCTGAATGAAGTGACGACCTAATTAGAAATGCTCGACTCTGCAGTTCTCATGTTATATCTGTTAAGTTCACGCTATGCTGAATCATACATGTTACTCATTTTTGACTGCAGCAAAGATTACAGCAAAAACAGTTAAATAAGGTGAATTAAACTGCGAACACTGAATGCTTAGAATGAAACATAAAAGTGTAAGTTCTTAAGGTAAATTTGGTTTTATATTCACACATTCATTCAGTGACAACTTGTGACACACTCCCTATATTGTTTACCACGGCACTTTGAATATTCAGTCTGAAATAACCTGCAAGTGTGACTGGAAAACAACATTTATTCGACTGTGAACAATGTTGCACTTTGATAGTGGTTGGCTGCTAATATGATTTCGCTATTTAGAGTTTGCAAATAATACTTTTATGAAATTATATTATTAAGGAGAAAGTCCGAATGTGCAAATATAAAACCAACTTTACCTCTAAGTTCACATATCCTGCTGTACAGGTGCAGTTCGCTGTCAGAATGCAGTACTTTTGCTTGTTGATGATTACCCAGGCCTTGTACAGCTCTGTCTTCTTTCCTTGTCTTTGGCTAGGCAGAGCCTTGGTTTTTAGCCCTACATAGTTTTGAATCTGGTAATCATGGAACATTATTTCTTGCACATGACCACAAAGAACAAGATTGTTGGCATCCAAAGACTTGTAGACCTTTAACTTCTCTTGTAAAATCACTTGGAGCTTCAATGAGATTGATTATTTGGGGCTGGATGCTTGGTCATTTCATCTTGTACAATATCCATTGGGAGGGTGCTATCGCAAATGAGCCTGTCAGATGAACGCCGCTCACTTTAACGTTAATTTTGCTGAATCACAGTGCTTATCACTGGGGGACGAGCTGTTAAACATTGTTATACATATACACTGCCAGCTGTTATACATTTACACTTTAAGGATTATGTAAATAATATACCTAATATGTAATCAATATATCTTATCTCCAAAAACAACAACAAATTCTGTACTGCATCAGATAACATTCCCTCGCTGAAAATCCTAGGGCTCCCGGTTATTTTCTGCAACCTCGCTGCGCGCGCATCCTGTATACTTACAAACATGGTAATTCGTCTATAGTTTTTCGTCTTGTAGAAATTGTACACAATTTGACCATTTCTTTTCACAAATATGACTTTCTCAAAGTTATATAAGTATCTTGCGAACAAATAATGCTTCCAAACATCCCAGACAGAAAACTCGGTACAAAATAATGTAACACAACATGAGTCGTCCACATCCAAATGAGAATAATTTCTTTACTTGTTCTTAAATGTAATACCTGACTTATTTACCCAGCCTAATTGTTTATAAAGACCACATTTGTTTTTCCCCAAACTTTCTTCCATGTCACATGTTGATGACAAGTACGTTTTAGTATCTTATTTCTAATCTGTTGCTGCGTGAAGCTTTCGGTCAGGTGACTGATGGAGTGACGTGTCAGGTCGCGCGCACAGGTGTGTGTCCGCGCGCGCTTGTCCGTGAGACAGTAAACATGGCCGCCGATAGCAGCCGGTGGACGCGGAACAGCAGCCGATTTCTCTGTTTAATAACATTTTTCTTCTACTTTTCTTCATTTAATGGAGTCAACGCTGCTCCGGAAATGGGCCTGTGGACTATCACAGTGTTTAATGTGAGTGTGGGTTATGTTTTTGGTTATAAATGCATGAGAAGGAGCGAAGAGGGTAAATGCTAACAGCTAGCATTAGATACCATGGCATCTTTAGTTCATGAATTATATAATGTTTTGCGTGACTTTAATAAAGACAGTGCAAATAAATGATTGGAAGATTAATAACACGCTATGGGACAGATGTAGAAGTCATTTAGATGAATGAGTATTATGCAAATGTTGCAGAAGTCTCACGAGCTCGATGCTTCATTTTAGTTTTCAAAACCTGCAATTGTTTGTTTCTCTAGTAATATAATTAGCATCAATAAGTTCTGAGGTATAGAGCAATATGTGAGCATTATTATGCCGTAATAATGGCATTATCACTTGTTTGAGATAATATTTGTTTGCTCTGGTTTATGCTCCAGGCTGTTATGATGTTAATGTACGTACAAAAGTAACTACAGTATAGCAAATATGGGTCGAAGACTGTCTTAATACAGCTTTAAATTCGCTATTTAATTTGTCCTGTTTATTTAGTTTATTTTTTTGCAAAACAAACTGTGAGTCATTATAAAAATTGAGGTAAAGTTGGTTTAATATTATTCACACATTCATACTTTATCTTTAATAAAATAATTTCAGAAAAGCATTCTTTGCAATTTATAAATAGTCAAAACATATTAGCAACTAATGACTAACAAAGTACAACATTATTCACATACAAATAAATAGTGCAAATGTTGTTTTGAAGTCATATTTACATCAGATTTCAGACTGAAAATTCAAAGTGTCATGGTAAACATATTATCAGGAAGCATGTCACAAGTTGTCATTTAATGAATATGCAAATATAAAACCAACTTTACCTCAATATTATAAAATGCTTACTGAAGGCACCCACTGAGTATCATTCAGTGTAATATAGTTTATATCGTAACAATATATTTAGGCATATTTACATTAACAATCAAATGACATTTTCAAGTATAACTTTCATGCCTCAAAATAATCAATAATAAATCCTAATATTTTTTTCCTATATTATTCAAACTATTAGGTTTGTCCATTTGTCAGTAAGAATCATTTCATCATTTAATATGAACAATAATCTGATATTTTAACACGTGTATATACAGCATTTATATCACTGAATTAACTAAAGTTGACTTCATTTTAAATAATTTCTTTTCACAAATATGATATTTTCAAATTAATATAAGAGCAATTCCGTTTACCAGTGATGGGTTGTGGCTGGAAGGGCATCCGCTGCGTAAAAACGTGCTGGATAAGTTGGCGGTTCATTACACTGTGGCGACACTGGATTAATAAAAGGACTAAGCCGACAAGCAAATGTATGAATGATAAGAGCAATTCCCTGCAAATGTCAACCTTGCCGTGTGTTTTCGGCAAAATAATGTTTTTTGTTGAAATGCCTTTGTTATTTTGGGGAAAATGTGTTCTGGTAGCATGGTATAGGCGGGACAAAAAATCTTTTAACTGCTGAGCAGTGAAGATGACTATTTCAGAATTGTTCAATTATTTATAAATTGTTCTCTAATTTTGATCGCCACTGTTAGGGTTGTAACGGTATGAATTTTTCACGGTATGATAATCGTCTAAAACAATACCACGGTTTGACGGTTTCGCGGTATACGGTATGTTACAAATGTTACAAAATAATAGAACAGTGAAGCAAATTTGACTTTTTCCAAATAATATATTTTTAGTTACTATAAACAACACCACTTACAATGAACAAATAAAAATAAGAAAATAATAAATAATGTGTCAAAGTCCAAATAAAGTCCAAATAAACATGGTGCAAATCCTCAGTAAAAAATAGATATAAATATTTACTATCCTATAAATAGTTACATAACGAAACTAGATTCAATATGGAACATCCTTAGGTTTTATGTGCCAGCATGGATATGGTTGTCTGTGGATATGGATTTGGATATGGTTGTCTGCAATGCAGACAAACAGCTGCACCTTCATTTGTGTCTTTTGAAAACAGCAAGAGCAGCAGTTCGTCTTTGCTGTGTCACTGTTTTGTCATGTTTCTGTGCTGCTGTGCATGCAAAAGTACTTAGTATGAGAATTATTTCATGCAAAACTTTTTTTTTTGCGTTTTATTTAGCCGCGCATAAATGTATGCCTATCTCTCATTCCGTGTTGTTCAAAAAGCTTGGTCCACAAACAAAAGCGAAACCTATGCTTATTGGTTGTGATATAGCGAGTTTGAACCAATCTGGGCATGGAGGAGGGACAATGCATCAATGTATCATGTCTGATTTGTCCGGAGACACAGTGACGAGCGTTTCTTTGTCAAATCAGCGTTGTCAAATGTTGATGACGTAACCGCACTGATTCCGGAGCCTCTGAAAGTCCGCGAATGTTATGTGATACAGCACTGGAAAGCTGAGATTCTCTTCTTTATGCCAATCTTTGAATTGTATGAATCGGATCAGCGGATCAAAAGTTATTAAACATTTAAGAGCAATACTTATTTTTAGCCGCGGGCGGCTGTTTCGGTCTTTAAGGGTTAAAACCGTTGATATGCAATTGTTCATGGTATGATAATCGTGCACGTTCAAATCGTGGTAAACCGTCATACCGGTATATTGTTACAACCCTAGCCACTGTATATATATGAGGCATGGGAAGATAACCGTGTTCAAGGTATATCGCGGCTTGGAAAAGTCAAGGTTTTAAAACCATCAAAATTTTCTGATATACCATTCCTAGGGTATGAGTAGTTCCACATGGGATCTGTGCACGCAGATTTTCCACAGAATTCCGCTGATTTTTAGCCCATCATTAATCCTGTTTATTTAGTTGTGTAAATGTGTGTAAATATATATTTATTGGGTTTTTAGATTAATTACAGTAATATTATTGACTAATTTAAAAATGTTCATATGATTTATTTACAATACAGTCTGTACAGTAGAGAGACTTGCTTTGTTTACCAAATAAAGATAATCTTATTGGATTTGCATTTTAAACATCAAATAAAAGTTTAAGATATACAGATTCTGTCTGACCCTAAGTATGAGATTTTTTATTTACATTTTATTTTAGTACAACAGTATTTCCAGCATATATATATATATATATATATATATATATAGCTTTACAGCATTGATATCACAATGTGTGCATGCACAATAGGGCTGCACAATATATTTTTTCAGCATCGATATCGCAATGTGTGCATCCACAATAATCACTTCGCAGGATCTACAATATTGAACTGGTATTATAATTGACTAGGAGCTATATTTCAAAAAAATGCGTATCATTTGTCGCTGCAGTGTTTCACCGTAAAGTTACTAAAACCTT